ACACACTAAAATATTTAAAGCAAACGACTGACACCTGCAACTCATCTTGAAATGCATCAAAATGGACTGATGGGTGGAAGAATACACAGACACACATATGATAAAGCAAGTGTTTACGCTAATAACAGATCCTACAGGGTAGACATATAAATGTTCAATTTCACCCTTTTAACTTTTCTTTATGTTTGAAAATTTTCATAATAAAATGTTGGGGGAAAAAAGAAATATGAAATCAGCATAGAAAAATATGAGAAACAAAGTAAAGTATAATAAAAATACCACAGAGACACCAAGAAGACACCTGGATGATAGTATATACGTTGTTACTTGTTTTTACCACTCAGCAATATATTATGAGTATTTTCCTAGCTTTTTAAGTAGTCTTCCAAATGCAATGGAATTCCACTATACAGATGTAGCATAATTTTCTTCATATTTATGTATAATTGACAAGTAGAACTGTAATATCTTTAAAGTATACAACATGATGATTTCAATATACGTATGTACTGTATAGTGTGATATGACTCCCATGATCATGTTAATTAACACAATCATCACCTTTCACATTTTTGGGGGAGGAAGGGTAAGAATGTAGCATAATTTAAAAGATAATTTGTTGTAGGACACTTGAATTGTTTCCAATTCTTTATTATTTATTTGAGATAAGCAAGTTATTAGATCCTTCTTCCTGCCTATCTCAAATTATTTCCTCAGGATAAAGTCCTCAAAGTCAAATTTCTGCCTCAAAGGAAGGAAACATTTTAAGATTTTTTATTTGCTAAACTTTTCTCCAAAACATATATCAATTTACATTTCTAATAGGAGTGTATCACAGCTCATAACTATCCAGATATATGATATTTAAATTGTAATTAAATGCTTCCATAAATAAAAGTTATCTATGACCATTTGTTCTCCCAAAAGGACAAAGGCTCCTTATTAAACAGTCTACAATAAGCAAACCTGTTAGCCAAATCTAGGTTTCTGAATATCATACTCCCAAATCAGGTACCCTGAATCAGGGCTTCCTGAAGAAATGGCTGACTCCAGGAATGGAACTAACTGAGCCTGGAGCATCTTTTCATGCCCGGGAGTAAGGAAAGGCTAAAAAAATGATGGAGACACATCAGAAGGACATAGGAGCCAAATTGAAGGGACTCTTACTTGCTAAATCGGGAACAATTTAAGCATGAAAGTGAATAACAACAGTAGTGAACTGTAACTTAAGGATTCTTTTTCTTCGAAAGAGAATCCTTAAGTCTACAATGAAACAATAAAAAAATGGATCAATAAACAAGTGAAGAAAGGAAGGAAAAAAGCCTCTCATTTATGCTAGAACCTTTTTCTTTCTACACTGTAACTGTCATAATAATATTTGATTCAAACAAGAGTCACCAATGGATGCTAAAGACATTGGGTAATATTTGTTGAGGGAAGAAGATATTTACATAACCTCAAAGTATCTACCAATATCTTAATTATTAATTATGAAGAGAAAACAGATATTTTTACTGGGGAGAAATTGGGTGAGCCTCTCTTAATCAAGGATTCATAATTAATGTCACCAATAATGGGACAAACTGACAAATAGGTCTTCCATTAAGATATGCCAAGGACACATGTTGTTATATAACATTCCTACCAAAACTACATAACCTTAAACTAGGCGAGAGGGAAGGGAAATCAGATTAACCCCAAATGATGGATATTCTACAAAAACTTCCCAGTACGCTTCAAAAATGTCAAAGTTTAAAAAACAAACAAAGGCAAGAGAAATTGTTGCAGATTAAAGCAGACTAAACAGATATATCACTAAATGCAGTATGTGATTCTGGATTGGGAAAAAAAATGCCATAAAAAGCCACTATTGGGACAATAGGAAAAATCTGAAAATAGACTTGTATAATAGGTACTATTGAATCAATGTTAAATTTCCAATAGTTGCATTATAGTTGTGTTCTTCAGAGAAGCTAAAGTATTTAGAGATAAAGGTACATAGCATCTGCAATTTACCCTTATGTTCACTAGAAAATATGTACAAACATACCTAAATCAATAATATGTAGAGAGAAAGGAAATGTTGCAAAATGTTACTTAGCTGTGATTCTAGGGGAAGGATATGTTACAGTTCATGGTACCTCCTTGTAGTTTTTCACTACGTGTAAAGGTTTTTCAAAAATGAAGTTTTACAAGATATGGAAGCAACCTAAGTGTCCATCAACAGATGAATGGATAAAGAAGATGTGGTGTATAGTATATATACAATGGAACACTACTTAGTCATAGAAAAGAATGAAATTTTTCCATTTGCAACAACATGGATGGATGGAGAGGTACTATGCTTAGTGAAATGAGTTATACAGAGAGTCAGATACTACTGCTATCACTTATAGCTGGAATCTAAAAAATAAAACAAATGGATGAATATTTTAAAAAACTAAGTTGTAAAGAACTACCAAAATTTTAAGTAAATGCCATTTTTCTTTTTTTTCTAAATCAGAAAAGTAATATATACTCATTAAACTAGAGGTCTACAAATAAAAGTGAAAATAAACAGCATTCCTCTATAGGCCCACAGAAGCAGAATTAGAGTTATATATAAACTTTTTCTACCTTTCACAAAACATATAGGTCATTCTTAAAGAGTTCCATGAGTGAGCTACAAATATATTATTAAAATGTTCCATTGTTTCTAAAATTCATTCACAAAGATGACCAAGTGACACAGGACTGAATCTATAAATTGGAAAAAATCCAGAGCTTATAACCTTTATCTTATCACTGAGAAAACATCTAGCCACCGAGCCAACACATAGTTCATAAAGTATAACAAACATTTACATAAGAAATGCATATCTTCTTTCTAATAACTGCCAACCCCGAGTCAAAATTATTTACATCTTGAACACACGCTAAGTCGGTAAGTGTGGAGACGCTTTGCAATAACGTATTGTGCCTCTGTGTCACTCACAGTCACTGACTAAACCGAGCCCCAAAGCTGAAACTGAGTTTCTGGTTTTCCTACTTGGAAGTTGATGAGGCGTGCTCCTGTGGTTTACTGTAATCAGCTCCAATTCTGAATGATATGCGCTCAAGTTAAATATCTACACAAGAGCAGGATTTGGCAGTTTCCAGTTCCTGTCTTTACTCCTGTGCTTCCCTGTGTCATTTTCCTGGTTCTCTCTCAGACAGTAAAAAATGGTCCTGGGTATGGATGGGGGTAGAGTGAACGGGCTGCAATGACTGTTTTCCTATTAAAATTTGTTTCACGTCTCAAAGTCTTTCTCATATCTAACAATCACATAAGAACATGTTCACTGTACTGAAGTTGTATGGTGCTTAAAAATATTAGCTTACTTATATACTTCTTTGAATATAAATTTAATGGAACTGGTTTATTATCTGTTCTTACCTGGTCAAACTAGAGGTTTCAGAATTAGAAACTAGAGAATAGGGGGTCCAATCTGGATTTCATCTACCCCTATTGGGGTAACTGTACATATTTCGCAAAGCTCTATTTCCCAACCTACAGAATGGGTACAACAATGCCTGCCTATAAAGGGCTCAAGAGTTCACCAGATTTAAAAAAAAAAAAAAAGGTACGTTCAACTCCAGAGTAAGAAATAATTTTATTATTTGGCTACTATTTAAAAATTTGTTGATCAACACATGACTGGGGGAAAACTTTTTCTACATAGTGCCTTTTGGTTTGGAGCATACATTAGCTTGTAAAAGCTATCACTTTTTAATGCTTTCTACAACCTACAGATACCCCAAGGCAGAGGTATCTTAGTCCTTCTGGCTTGGGTTCACAAATCAGAAACACAACTGCTGGTCACACAGTGACAAAGCAGTGCTGGGAGGAAACGACACAAAGTGCTGTCTATTTTGGCCATTTCGGTTTCCTTTCTCAATCAACTGCTGTGGTTCACTGGCAGCAGTTAATGAAAAAAATGAAATCATTCAGGGAGATTAAAGGATATTTATGGAAAAGTTCACTTTGAAGGAGGTGGGAGGGGGATCAGGACGGGGAATACAGGTAAATCCATGGTTGATTCATGTCAATGTATGACAAAAACCACTACAATACTGTAAAGTAATTAGCCTCCAACTAATAAAAATAAATGGGATTTAAAAAAATGAAAACAAAACAAAACAAAAAAGAAAAGTTCACTTTAAAAACATACTGAAAAGAACAATAACTAGCCAAAACATGACATAAATAGAACTGACCAAAGCAAACTCCTGAGGGTAGCTATTTAAAGTTACTGACACCCTGAGCTCCTCCAAGTCATCTCTGCAGCCAGCTTTACTGTGGGGTTTGGGTACCAAACTGAATGTGGGGACGATGCTGTGTCACTTTCCTAAGATGAAGGGCCTGTGTACGAGCTTTGAGCTTGACTAGGACCAGCACCAATTCCAGACTCTGAAAGTCAAAATGTTTTTTTTCCAATTTTACAAGTAGGGCAGCTCTCTGTGTAGCACTTTTATTAAACAAAGTCCATCACTCTGCACTTCAAGTAGAGGTGAAATCCAAGAAGCTGGTACTGCTTCTATTTCAGTAGAGAAATAATGCTTTTTGTTTTTCAAAAAGACAAGTCCTGGGGACCACAAATTCACCAGAAAGTGGAAAGGGGATGAAAACTTTACACACTACTCTTCACTGACCCCTCTTGGCTGACCCAGGGCAAAGCCTAAAGTCTGGGAAGACCTGAACGCTCACCTCCCCAGGACAAGAGCTCAGAGAACATTCGGTCTTGCACGCCATGGAAAGAAATCCTCTCAGTTCAGATGACCCCTAGTAAAACTCAGCCCTACAGCACACGCGGCACCGACTGCTATTTATGGGGCTCCCAGAATGGAAATTTGGGAAACAGCCTCATGGATCAGCCCCGAAGGCTCTGCTAGGGCCCTGGCAGCCTGTGACCTCTGACTTAGGTTGAAAAGCTTACATAAATGCTATCATGACCACTTCTGATAGCAGGAAAAGACCTTACCTCTTTCTCTATCTTGAGTAGCTTCTTTACAGCCACCTCCTTGTCCTGTGATATCCATTTGGCTCGATAGACACTCCCAAAACTCCCTCCACCGCAGTTTTCAAAAAACTGCAAGTCATCAAATTTAATTTGCACAAAGGAGGTACCGAGAGACGACATCTCATAATGACAAAGTATTATACTTCCACAAAATCTGCAGAGGGAAAGGAAAAAAAAAAAAAGCTGGATTAGAAACATATTAGAATGAAACCTCTGAATTCCACTTTTGCTAACATATACCAAGTCCTGTGGCGCTTCCACAAAGAGCCTTGATGACTTAGGAGGAAGAAAAGCAGAAGTATAAACAAATCAACATGAAAATACTTACCCTGGTAGCCCGAGCAAAATTCAACAGCAACCTGTCCAGACTCTGAAACACAGCTGTCCGCAGAGAAATGGCTCAGATTTCCCCCCCCCGACAAAGCCTGCAACAGCACTTCCTGCACATCCCCAGCAGCTCTGCCTAAAGGCTACCGTGTAACCAGGTCTCTCTCCCACCCCAAGACAAAGGGGAAGCGTGCTCTCAGGAGGAGGCTTGCACAGCTCTTCTGGCATCTGAGGCATGCCATCACTCTGCGTTGTACTCACTTAACATCAAATATACATAACCTAAGCATCTGAGCATGCTGGCACAGGATGGCCCAAACACTGCAAACAGAACGCACACTTGGGGCTGGGATTCCAAAAGCAAGTGGTCAGCTTTGGGATGAGAGAACTGGCCAAGTGTTTTCCAGAAGTGGCTCCCTGGACTGTGTCCTGAAGCAGAACTTAATTAAAGAGCAGAAAATTTGCCCTTGATTACAATATATTAAGTCATCCAGTGATCTCTGCCAAGAATGTTTAAAAAAAAATATTATGCCTGTTTCCAGAGGAACAGATTACCTCTCACAGAGATTACAGTGATATTTTCTGCAATCTAAGGAGTTTCACTATTCTCCAGGTAAGGGGTAATTCTTCACACCCTATGCCTAACCACAGATTAGCAGGAAAAACAAAACAAAAACCTACAACCAAGAACACGAAGTTCTAAAATTTTGAACCCGCAAAAAAAGCAGATGGATAAAGAAGTTTTTAGACATGTTCTTCCCAAACTGTAAATCAGAATCTTAAACTGAGGGAGCAAAAAGATGAACCCATAGGTACAGGACATTCTACAAAACAACTCCCCTGGTCTCTTCATAACAGTCAAAGTCATGAAAGATTTTTTTAAAAGGCAGAGAAACTTCTAGTACATGGAGGACTTCAAGAAATATGACTAAATGCAATGCATGATTACTGACTAGATTTTGGATCCCCAAAAAACTGCAGAAGTTATTATGAGGATTTTAGGGAAATTTGAATATTAACTATATATTAGATAATACTATTTTCTTCATGGCAAATAATGGTATTTTGGTTTTGTAGAAGGATGTCCTTGTTCTTGGAAGATATACTGGGTGATGTATCAAAGTATGATATTTCCAATTTAATTTAAAATAGTTCAACTCCCCTTCACCCTCCAAAAAAAATGTGAATGGGTATAGAAAGGAAGGAGGCAAATGCAGCACAATGTTAAGAACAGGTGACTCTAGGTGACAAGTATGTGGGCGTTTTACTACTTTTCTGTGGAATCTGATTATTTTCAAAAGAAAAAGGAGGAGGGGCAATTTATATCTATTACACATGATAGTACAAATTCGTATCTATTATAGATCTTAATGTACTGCTGACCAGCCAATCCATTTTAGGAACATCAGGTCACTGAAGAATGCTGATTTCTTAAGTGAAGTCAAACTTGACTCTACTTTGGGATGAAGGCAAGAGAGAAGACTGTTTATCCTCTGAAGCTTAAAAGATAGCTTTAGAATCTACATAAGTAAACATAGTATCAAAATACAGTCAGTACATATTTGAGTCAAAAATTTTACCTTAACTAACTTTTGCTTCGATTCATACTTTATTAATTAGAGAAAAAAAAAAGACCCCCCCCCAGAACACAAAATTTAAGACCATGCCAAAGGTAGGTACATAGAACATGCAAGTTTGTTCTTATCTGCAAAATGTTTGTTCAACAAAATGCAAAACACTGCTTGTAAGAGTCCCTTGGTCTTATAAATACTATATCTATATTTTTATTACTTTGACTTTTATCAAAAAAATGAAAAATAGAACTCCCCTGTCCTACCCCTCCTCACACCCAATTCTCTCTTCAGGGGGAACTAATTTCAACTCACTTAGGATTTTATTCTGATATTTATATTTCATATGATATTTTTATATCTATTAGTATATTTCTAAAAGTGTGTTTATATAGCTAGTTCCTGGTTATTCCATTTTAGTTATTACCTATTCACTTCTCCCTGTGGAAGAAAAAGATTTAGTTCTCATCCCCCATCCTTTCTCCTTACATCAAACATGTCACACTTGCCCTATCTTCCCAGCATCCAGAGCTACTGTAACATTCGGTTAAGTCAATATTCACTGTTAACAGCAGTCTGGCAAGGTAAACGTTATTCCCGAGAGTGCTGAGCAGGACTCAATGACTTTTCCTTTCTCAGATAATCTTTCTTTTCTCCCCAAGTTATTAGTTGTTCGATTTGGTTTTTGCTGTTTGTTTAGTCACTGGTAAAGAATCCACCTGCAGTGCGGGAGACCTGGCTTCAATCCCTGGATTGGGAAGATGCCCTGGAGAAGAGAAAGGCTACCCACTCCAGTATTCTGGCCTGGAGAATTCCATGGACTGTACAGTACATGGGGTCACAAAGAGTCAGACACAACTGAGCGACTTTCACTTCACTTAGCTTTGTATACATCTAAAACGTATTCACCTCATCAAACTCTCTGAACTGCAAAACTCCTCTCAGTAAAGTAAAAACATCAGGTAACGGGGGAGGAGGGTCTCTTTTTCTCTAGAAGACACCTCTCCTATACCCTTCACCTTGAGCAGTCTGGCTGAAGCAGTGGCTTTCCAGGTCTGATTGCACTGGCTTGTCCATCATTCTCAGCATCCTTCACCTTTTCCTCTGTGGGAACTCCTGGCTTCCTTTTCTTGGTTTAGTCTCTTACTTTGACAGAGCACATCTCCTGTTAGCTACCTGAGCAGAGTGCCCAGGACGCAATTTTGAGGGGAGAATCTGTATGTCTTCAAATGTCTTGATTGGTAGTATGCAATTTCAGGTAGGAAATTATTTCCTGATAATTTCAAAAGTATTACCTCATACTCATCTAGTTCCTAATGTGTCTGTAGAGCAAGTCTGAAGTTACTCTGGTTACCAATTCTGCTTGCATTATTCTTTCCTTTCTGAAATCACTTAGGACCTGGCATTCATCCCCAGAATCCTGAAATTTATAGGATATGCTTAGAAGCGAGTCTTTTTCATTCATTGGTGGCATATTCAGTATACTCTCCATCTGTGACTCATGTCTTTTAATTCTGGAAAATTTCCTTGTGATCTTCCTTCACCACCTATAGCCATTCTTACTTCTTATTTCCTCCTCCAGCCCCCTAGACACACAGGAGGACAGATTTGCAGTTCCCACAGCACGCTTTCCCATCTTCACACCTCTGCCCAGGCTAGGGTCTCTGTTTTGAATGCCTTTCCCTGCCCAGTGATGTCTCTGACCATCTCCTCTGAGCCTCATGAGCACAGTTAATTCTCCTTTTTCTGTGCCACAGCCCCTTTCTTTACCCTTTCATCTTTCCCACTTACTTCCCACTTACTTCCCACCAGACTATAAATTCTTTAAAAGCGAAACACATTTCTATTTTCATCTATTTCATCTATTTTCATCTGAATCTTCAGTAGCCACTATGCAACCAGCACATCACACCTATTCCATTCAAAAATATGTGTTGAATGAATGAATCAAAAACCAAACAAATAATTTCTGGTTATTCCTGAAATTTGCAAATATTCCATTTGCAGCTGGAAAGATTACAATCAGATTAAGTAAAATCTGAGAACTGTAGTTTTTATAAGTGCCCTCCAAAGGATTCTGAAGCAAATCCTGATCTGGAAACAGTTGCCTAGGCTTTTTGGTAGACTAAGAAGACTATATTTGGGATCTCTAGGGTTAGGTGTCTCTGAGACTGGAGGAAGAGAAGGGTGGGAAGAGGAGGAGGAAAGTGGAGGAGGAGGGAGGAAATCCTTCCAGAACAAACAAAGAGATCTGAACCAGGATGAGACCGATATAAATAAATCCAAACCCTCTGGTACAGAGCAAGTTCAGGGTAAACTGAGGCAGGATCAGTCCCATTTGAAACTGACTCAGAGGTACCAGAGAGAGGCAGACCTCTGAGAAGCATAGTTCTCAGGATCTTCACTCTGAGATGAGGCAACCAGTCAGCTCTTCCCAGAATCACTGTTACTCATTTTGTGATACATCCTGCCTTTTGGAAACTGTGTATGAATGGAACTATATAATTACTTGAGTGTTTTATTGAGACCATAAAAAATTAAGTACCATCTGATTACCTAAGAGACTAACAATTCTGGGGTGTATGAATACAGGTTTTCACTCCAGTAAGCTTGACAAAGCATCATGGACTTAGCTGAAGAACCTAACTGAAACTCCCACTGCCATCTACGTGACTGTCTGACCACATATTTACTTTTCCCTTTGAGCTTTCCCTCCTTGAAAATCATTATTCTAAGAGGATCAATTTATAATCAGAGAAAGGATAATCCGAGCTGCAGATTAATTATACTTAGAGCATCTTGGGGAAGATGTTACCTGATCAAATTATGATCTAAAGTTTTATGTGTATTCTCCAGTGAAGACACTAGAATTTAATAAAAGTCATCCATATAAATGTATTTACATAGTACACCCAATCAAATGATGCTGTCATTTTAACATTCTACAATGTTAAAATAATTGCTTTTACACAAGAAAGACAACTTTCCTCCATGCAATAATTCCCAGTCCTAATTCTGTAGCATCCTAACTTTGGTTTCATAAACTCTCAAAGCTGTTTTAAATGCTAATGATAAGCATCTACCACAGAGCACTGAAGAGTAAGTTAGAGCAGGGATATGACAAAAATGAAAGCATAAGAGAGTGTCACAACTCTGAAAATATTGAAAATCACTAACTCAGTGGTTGAATCAAATCACTGGAGTCCTCAAGTAGTAAGACTT